AGACAGAGAGAGAGAGAGAGAGAAAGATACAGAATGTGTGTGAGAGAAAAGTGGGAAAGTGGGTGGGGTGAAAAACCAATAAAGGGAGAGAGAGAGAGAGAGAGAGAGAGAGAGAGAGAGAGAGAGAGAGAGAGAGAGAGAGAGAGAGAGAGAGAACGACTGAGAGAGAGGGTGAGAGAGAGCGAGGGGAAAATAAACAACTTTAGCATTTTGATTTTTTTTTTCTTACAAAACTTGCAAAAAGCATTTTACGGCACTTGCAACAAAATTAGGTCAAATCAAAGCCGACATTCAGATGTGTAAAAAGGCAGTAATAATAAATATAAAATAAACGAAGGAGGAGATGTAAGGACCATAGATGTTTGAGCAAATCACACCAGAGCACTCGCCTACCATCTACTTACATGAGATTGTACAGGATGGTGTTTTCTGCCTCGGTTTTGGCGGTGGGAAGCGCGCCTCCGAGAGCTCCACATGCCTCTCTAGCATCAGATAATTGGACCGAGGAGTCGAAGTACTTGAAACATTGGTCACTGGTCAAGTCCATGGACCAACCATCCGGACAGACTGATAACGCGAAAAGACCAAAAGAAAAAAAGAATGATAGAATAAAAGATTTATAAGAGTTTAGTCAACGTTTTATGAGTTTGCTCAGTTCAGAATCAATGGAAGCTTCCAACCTAGACTGAGTGGAATACAAAATATGGAGGCACTCAATAAAGGTGTCTTTCCACTCGGGAATATGACTCGGGTCTCCCGTGTGCAACAACAAAGCAAAAGCGCCTAACTGCAACTCAATATATATGTATATATATATTATACATTATTCATCAGAGCGGTATAATAATATGTATACATGTGTTTGTATATTATATATATATACTGAACGCCATTAAAAACGCAAAGTTTTAAAAAAGTTATAAAAAAGCCAAATATGCTCCTATTTTTTAGACACAATTGAGCAATTGTTAGTTCACACACATTTGTACGATCTGTGCTATTTACATGAGTACTTTTCATCACAGTACAGCAAACTATGCTTTAGTAAAATGTGTTCATTGATTGCTATATTACGAACGAATAAAAAAAATATTGACCTGGAAGATGACCTGTAGCTCTTTCAAGCAAAAATTCTAGCTTTTTTTCGATCACTAAAAACAATTCATTCATTTTAAGACTCCTCGACTTAGCGAAGCTGATCCTAACTTTCGCTTCCGCCTTGTTCAAGGCGGAAAATCTACCTTGGAAGCAGCAATACGGCTAAAATGCAGTGTTTGTGTTGTTCTCGACTTATACAAAGATTTTAGCAAACTTGAAATGGGATGGAAATGAAATAGGACAGCCTCTAGTGACCAGCCCTATTCAAGAGAGGCAGATTTTGTTGTCGTATCTGCGAAATCGTTTCGTTCCTAAAAAGAAACAGCTCAAGGCATGAAAGGAGTTCATGAAAATGTTTCTTTCATCAGTGTGAGGTGCCGACTAGTAAGTTCAGAACTTAAATCAAGAGAGCCTTATTTAGGACTGCAATTATCGAAACTGCGACAACAGCACCGTCTTCACTGTGCGAAACATCAC